CTAGCCGAGGATAAAAACCCTAATTTATCCCGGGTTTTTGCTTCAGCGTGAATAGGTGCTGATTATCCTGCAGCTGATCTGGGTAAGCGCTGCTGCAGCAGCACTTCAGAGGGCAGTGAGGGGCTGCCATGTTAAAGACGATCCTAACCGGGTGCACAGCTCCCAGGCCTGTGCTGACATAAATCAGCGCAGCAAAGCAACTGTGTGGCGTCGCTTATTTAGTTTCCCAGCTGCACCCAGTGAACCTGAAGCAACGAGGGGCGCTGTTTTCGACTCAAATGAGTGCTTCCAGTGCATACAGTTGAGTTTCACCGTGTGTTTTTTTTTTGTTTCCCTTTTTTTGTCACCTTTCATGATTGCACTCTTGACTGTTCCACCGTCAAAGGTCTTCCATCCTGTCAGAATGAGGCGGATATGAACGACCTCAGCAGTTCTCACAGGAATACCAGGAGAAAGAGAGGTTGCTACTCGACTGCAACATTTCCGCATCAGCATTGACCCAGAAATCAAATGTTTGATGTGAAACTTACAAAGAGTTTCACTGCTGTCTAGTCTGTGCTGGAGATTCAAGATATAGCTCTTAAACTTGTTCTGCTTTTTGTTAGGTTGCAGCCACAAACTTCACACAGTTTATGGCTGCAAACTTTACACACAATAGCACATAATCGTGACACGGAAGAAAAAATAATACTTGATTTTCACATGTAAAGGCTTTACTTGTAAAGGCTTAAAAGTGTGGCATGTAGCTGTCCAATCTGACGGAGATTAAGATACAGAGAACATCTGTCAACAGCTGTCTACACATATTCCATATGATTCAGGCCTGAACTTTGACTGGACCATCCTAGCACATAAATATGGTTGCATCGAAACCAATCTTTTATATGTTGTTGGTATGTTTAAGGAGGTTGTCCTGCTGGATTGTGATAGTCACCTGAGTTTTAAGTCTCCAACAGCTTCTCTGTGCCAGCTGGTAAAAAAAAAAAACTTCCCTACAGTATTGTGCTACTTTTGTTTTACAACGGTAAAACATGGTAGCGGCAAAAGTCCCCGATTTACATTCACAAGTGGAGCAACGGAAATTAAAGGGAAAGAAGAAGAAGGGGGTAGATGAGAGCACAATTCAAGTCTGCCTCTAAACCTGCAGAAAGAGAAAAAAACAAAACCAAGAAACCGCAGCAGCAAACGACAATTAAAGCTGCATGTAGACCCAATCACACCCCAACGTATGATTTGTTTAAAAAGTATCGAAACATTATGTTCTTTTTGCCATTTCTTCCACATTTGATGAGCATTATTACCTGTGTCAGCATCTTCTACCAGGAGCTTCTCCAGATTATGAACCTTTTCAAGTTTCCAGTTTGGGTGGATGACAGTGTCTTGGTTTCTGGACTCTTAGGGCATTGGTTGCACTTGATTTCATGGAAAATGAGAGCTGAATGCTGAAAGCAGTGTAGATCCTCATTATAACAGAATGACATATTAGCACAAAGAGCTTCATGCCAGTCAACCGCTCTCTAGTCAGGAGTCTAATTAGCTCAACAAAGGCACATTAACCTTATCATGGATGTAATGGCAATTAGATGCATGTAAGGCCGCTTACAAGTGACTTGAACTTCTTCTTGATTATGAGGCTGATAAAAGCTGATGCGGAGTAGAATATAAGTGTGCAAATTAATTATTTCACAACAGTGCAGATGAAAAGCTGCTTCTATTAACGGATGCAGCCTATTCCCACCGCGGGTGACTTCCAGGGACCACGGCCGGCGAGCTCGTCGACGGGGGCTCTGCCGGGCCAGGTTGTGACAGAATTGTCTCAGTCCATGAGCCGGGAGGCACTTTGTAACGAAGATGACCAGCGCGACGTGCCAGAGCCGGTCTGTCAGTCGAGCAAAACGCTCCAGCAGCTTCCCGGGGGCCAGCCTTGGTGCAGAAGGCAGGAAAGAGCCTGGTGAGAGCGCGCGGGCCTTCTTCATTCTCGTGTGCAGCCCGCGGGCCTGAGGCGTCCGCCAGGACTGCGGCGGACGGAGGTTTAATTGGCCATATCCAGTGATAGATGGCTGTTCAACCTTTTTGTTACTCATCAGTGGCAGGCTTGCTTGTTTCACAATATGAGGCTGATTGTGGGGTCTATTAAAAATCAGCCTCTGGAGGAGATGTCACCGCGCCGCGACGCCACAGCTTGAAAGGAGAAACTCTGGAATGATCTGATTTGAAGAAAGGAGAAAAAAAAACCCAAAAAGAATCAACTGGCGCTCAGTTGATTGCCCATTATATCACGAAGGCAGTAAAAACATGATTGAAAAACTGATCACACTTAATGAGTTATCTCTATCCACAGAGACAACCGGAGGGAGATAATTGACATTAATTATCCGCTTTTGTTTCCCGGCAACGTAAATCAAAGCGGGGAGAGGAAAAAAAAAAAAATCTTGGTTTTTATTTAATCGCAAACAAAAATCATCGCGTCAAGCAAATTCCTGATTGAATGGTGTGTACGTTAATGACATAATCACTCCCTCGCCGCACAATCCGGGCTGGTGACTAAAGTTCCCTCTCTTTGTGCTCAAGAGTGATTGACGCGCTCAACGGTTGGGATAGACGCACGTCAGGTTAAAGACACAAAATGCTTGTTTCTGTTCGGCAGACTGTGTGCAGGGGGAAGGAACTCTAAGTGAGGCAGAAAGCAAACAACTCAGAGGATCGTCTCAGACACTCTGGCAGACGGAGATGAAAACAGAAACAGGCTGACGGCAGGAAGCGGAGGATATCCAGGCGAAGCGAAACCGACTTTGCTCGAGGAGGGCTTCCTTTGCACTTCACAGAGGAGGTGCCAAAGTGAGAGAAGATTAATAAATAAATAAATAAATGGCCACTTTTGCAGCAGGGCTGAGGGGAGGGAGGAGGGGGTATTTTGACATCCCCTAACAGTTGAGAGTAAGCTGGAAAAAAATGAGTGATGCTCGTTAACTATGACCCAAATCCTGCTCGACAGTGGGAGCTGTTGAAACACGGAGCAGACTGGAGAGTCTGGGTGACCTAGATAGCATTGGCTCTGAAAAGCAGCCATACATCACATTAAGTCGCTCTTCACTCTAATACAATGAGGCACATCTCTCTCGTTGGTAATGAAAATTACATTCTGATAAGGTTCTTTGTGACACGGAGAATACCTCTCCGTCCCCCGACACAGTGCCTCGGCTGATGGGATGGACTCTCGGGGTGGACTGCTCCTTCGCCGCCGGACCCGGCCGACATTATCAGACTTGTGAGCTGACACAGACTGTGACACTATAGTCTGACAAATCCGAACTGTAACTCGTGGTGACGAGTCATCCTCGGTTACCAGCTGTTGATGGAGGAAATGGAACATGTCTGAGCAAAACACTTCACTTCTTTTCTTTGTCGCTTTGTCGGTCACCTCAACGGGTTTCATCTAGCGTTCGTTTTTGCCTCACCGCCACATGTTCTTTTTCACATCTTCCTAGAACTCTCTTCATTTTGTCCAATATGTTCACTATCCTTCCTCTTCGCATGCACAAATCCAAGTCAATCTCGTCTTTCGAACTTTATCTCCAATCCTTGTTGACCGGCGTCGGCCATTACCAATGTGCCCAAACGCGTACTGTCGTCATTTGATAATATGATACTAAATTTAGAATTAGAATTGTTGCCCAAAAGTCCAGTTCAGAGTTCATCAGATAATAGCACGGATATTGGAGACTTTAACTAGGCCAGGATGATGTTTTTCTATAGATAATTTTGCCTGACTTCATTGTTCAGACATAAAAGGAATTGCATTCAAAACACGTCCAGTTCTGATTAAAAATGTCTTTCACTTCCCTCACTCTCCTTTTTTTAATTATCAGTTCTGATTCAAAAAAAGGACAAAATATTTGGACTGTCCAGTACAAATATCTTAGTATACTTGAATTAACACAAAACTAACTCAAAGGTAACTTTTCAGCACGATAGAGCAGCTTGTTTTAATATTAAGGAATATTAATTCCTTAATATTCATGTAGTACTAGTTCCACTGACAGATTATTTCTCTTACAACAAATCATTTTCCCATGTTTAAGTGAAATTAGCTGCTAATGCAAATATATATGCTAATATATTTGCACTAGAAACTAGAACAAAAATTCTTTGGTCTAGTTAGCAGTAATTACTTGTTTTTCACTTGAATTTTACTTTCAGACTAGTTTGACATTTGAAGTGTTGACTTTTATAATCTTTGGCCGATGATTGAATGAAAGGTCTTCTGATACGCCGCTCTTTGGTGCCTTCAGTTTCCCCGGTAGCTGTCCTTCCTGTCATGGCCGTTTCCAAAAGTCTTTCTGGGGGGAAACTGACAAGGGTCTTGGAAACAAACTTCCAACAATGTCGCCGTCACAATGTCAGACAATGTCAGACATGACAATGTACTCCCTGCTACTCCCAGTGCCCAGTTTCTTTTCTCTCCTCTCTTCCCGGGACAATGGCATCTCAACTTGCCAACCAAAGCCGTGGCAGCTGCGGTGCCAGCTTGGCATGACTGGCCCGTGTTAGCGGCGAATGATTCAAGGACATTAAAAAAACAATGCGGGGGTTTCCAGTTCACGGTGCCAGGCGTGGCGCCGCCACCGTTTGCTTTGAAACACCATCTCCCCTCCTCTCCTGCTGTTGGACCCATTAGCGGTCCATTCTCCGAAAATTTGCTTTGCGTGCAACAGCAGCGCCGGTCATGGTTTGCTGTTCTGTATTTACTCGTGAGCAGTACATAAAATGAGAGTGTTAAATATTTCACCAGAGGTCTTCTTCATGGGTGGCTGCCACAGCAGCGAGCATTAGCTGCACGCTCATTAAGGATTGATGATCCAAAAGAGATAATAACATCTTTGTTGATTTGTTAAATTGCTGCGTTAGTACTGTAATGACTGAACAAGAGGGCATGTGTCATTTGAATTTTGAACCACCTGTAGCTTAACATTTGTTCTCTCTGTCTGCTTGCCTTGCAGTGCTGAGAGCAACAGACTGTGATGGGCTGCCAACCCGCATCTGAAGCGCTCCAACAAAGAATAATATCCACTTCTGACCTACTGTGAAGAACAATATTTGATTCAATCAGTGTTGCAAGTCTCCCCCTGGGGGGATTGCTCCCGAGCAGTAGGTGATCCTTCGTAAAGAGCAACAGTGGAGACCATGTGATACTTGACCTTCACTGAGAGAACTCGGGTGCACTCCGGAGGATGTCAAATTTGATCTGAAGCCGCCCCTCCAGAGGATCGTTCGGCTCATAATTCAATCGGCTCTTCGATGTTTTGCCCGGCGTCGCTCAAGCGCCCTGGACCAGCAGTGACGAAGCGCATCTGTTGACGCCGGATCTTCATTTGTTGAGGAGTATCAGACACGTCGGCATGGATTTGACTGAGATTATCCGTACCATAGAGTCGCTGTGAGAAACACGGAGAGGCGACGGAGGGCGAATCGAACACCGGGAGATCGAGGGGGGGTCAGCGAGTGCGCTGCTAAACTCATGGTGGATCTGCTGTGAGCAGGACAAGGGACTCAGCGGTGGAGGATGTCAGCAGAGGCCGAAGTCCAGTCGGGTGTCAAAACCAGCCAGCGAAAGGAGTCCAGGAGGATCAGAGGTACGTTGAGATCTAGCAGAACAATTTTTAAGTTTCGTTGACAGGCTGGTGTGTGTTTAGTACAGTGTTTCTCAATTCTGGTCCTCATGTCTGGTCCTGGTCCCCTGCATGTTTTATGTTCCCCTTCTGCCACACCCTTGGATTGAATCTGTAGGTGATTCAGTACTTGATGACTGCAGAAGAGGACATGCAATCCTTTGGATTGGTTGTTCTGAAATAGAGACACGTCTATAACAGGCAGAGCGGGGGGACCTGAGGACTGGAATTGACAAGCACTGGTTTGAGATGGATAAACGGACCGAGGCATTATTAGAGGCCCTGATTGGGTGAGGCATTAAGGGAAGGTCTTGGCTACGTTTTGACCTCCCATGTATTATGGCTAGAGATGAACAAAGAAATTGACTTATGACTGGAAACAAGCGACTTTTTTTTCAATGACAGTTCCTGACTTGTGAGTGAAACTCAAGATTGTGACGTTTTTCCAATCAGTAGCTACATTTCCATTACAAAAGTTCCAGTATTTCACCAATGTCAAAAATTCACAATTGCTGTGCTTATATTAAATAAGAAACAAAATTTAAAAAACGCATGTTCAAGTCATTTAAAAACATGACACGCACAGTGGCAACATCCAGTGATTGATCACATGACTGGTGTGATGTGAAAAAATTATTTCTGTTGCAGTTTTACAAAATAGACCAATTTCTATACGGCCCAAAAAAAAAAACAAGCCCACCTCTTCCTAGCACCAAAACCTTTTATCAAAAACACAAGTTTTTTTTCAAAATGGACGCGTTTCCTGTTAGCAAGTTTATTTTTGAAATGTAAAATTGCGCCATTATATAGTCAATGGAAAAGCAGCTTATGTTTCCATCCGATTGCCATGCAATATTTGAAATGTTGCGACTAACTCGTATGGCACAGAAACATATCTAAAACCTTCTGTTTATGTTGTGATAATGTGATTAAAAACTGCTGGTTAAAGACAGACATCCAGGGTTTGAAGAGGTATGTAGTTTTTCTCTTTTTTTCTCCCCCTGTCTCATCTCATCAATGAACCATGTCTGGACTGTGAATGAATAAAAAATATTCGGCTTATGGGAGTTCTTTTCAGACGGGCGTAAAACGATTAGGAATAGAAACAGATCGGTAATAAACTAGTTGTTCTTGCTAGCCTGGCAGACAGATAACCCTGCACCTTGTTGCGGATGGAGCCAAATAACATCAGACGTGGAGGAAAAGAAGCCGCCACTCAGTCGGGTCCACTGAGAGCCTTCGTGTCTCATCTCGGGGATCCAGATGTAGTAACGGCCATCCCCATGTAGCCCCAGGGTTCGGTGCCACAGTGATTCAGGTGTCACGGACAGGGTAATTCACACCATGTCGCCGCGGCGAACAGCATAAGTGATCTGATTGGAAGAGGCATGCTCTGCGCGCTGTAAGCTTGAACCGGGATTGGATTGGCTTTGAGCAGGAAGACAGAGCGCTCCAGAGGGCGGGATTGTCTTTGAGGTCGACTGAACCGGCGGGAGCTTCAGCGTTTGCCTTCCGCTTCTTCATCCTGCAGTCTCTCCCCTCGTCTCTCCATCCACGAAGAAAGCCGCTGCAGCTCGTTCAGTGGGTTTCGGCTACTGTGAGTTTGCAGTAACAAGGTCGCGGGGGCCAGGTCCTCGGTGGCTGTTTCACGAGTTCTGTCGGATCGCTCTGATAAATGGCTCGGCTGGAGGAGGGCCTATCGATTTGAGTTAAGTGGAGAGGTGGGGAGGGGTGAAGGGGGCGAGGAGGAACGGCCGCCAGACGGTTCAGGAGAAGGGACTATCTGCACAAAGTATCAGCCTCTGCCTTTAACATGTTAATCACGCGCTCCAGGAACCATCACAAGCGCTGAAGAGGTGATTTAGATCTATATGAAGTAGAATTGAGTCTGCATGCAGAATATATGTATGCAGATGGATAGGTGGGTTCAGCCGCCTGGTGATTCTAGATGTCTTTTAGGTGAAGGACACTATGAAGTCTGGCACATTGAACGTACAGTGGTTGAATGACCTAAATAATGGATTAAAAACAAGAAATACATTTGCTGGTGAACTCATATTTATTAGATCATTTACCAACAAAATGGGTGTTTGAATTAAATATTTTTCTTACTATGTTATGTAGTTTTTGATTAAAATGTAATTAATTACAGACCCTGCAATTAACTCTATTAAATCATTTTATAGAGCCCTTCTACTACATTAAAAAAAAGAAAATCAAACGCATGTTGAAAACAAGTGTCGGGAAATCTATTTGCTTACAAAAACCGCCCTTCTTGTTTAGTAATGAGTTAATCATAATTAATCAGTTTCATTTATAACATCCAGGCCTGATTACTGTCATATGTGTGGAATCAAGGAAACATTTGCACTGAAACGGACCGCTGCTTTTCCTGGTTCGGGCCGCTCACTGTGCTCGGCAGAGACGTGGATTTTGTGCTCTTCCAAAAAAGCCAGATGAAAAATGTCTAGATATCAGTTTTTGACCTTGACCTTGAGTGCCAATGAGGTTATGCAGCGGCGCAAAGGATTCCAGTATCCCTACCTCTGTTTGACTCGGAGATGCTGGGGTTGAGTCCGACGGAGATGCTGCAGCGTGACTTTAAACAGGCTGTTCATGCTTTAAACACTCCACTCCAACGTGGCTAAATTAAAACACATCTGTGAAAACAAGTGGACAAAATCCGTGGCTAGTTAATCTCAAAGGACTGGTGACAGCTGTCAACGATGAAACAATCAGCTATTGGGATTAGGGGGCAATTGATTGTTCGGACACTGACCTTATTGGTTTGCATAGCTTTTCCCCTTTAATGTGAAGTCATCACTAAAAGCTGCAGACTGCTATGATGTACTAAGTTTCGTTTCTGCTCCAGTCCAAATGTAAAAGGATGAAACCAAAACCAAGCGGACATAAATGTGCATTTGAATGCTTTCTGATTTTCCCGTCCTCACAACAACTCTCAAGGCTCGTCTCTTCAAATAAAGGCAGCAATCTAAAAACAAAATAGTGAAAGCATACTCCCAAAACTTCAAAAGGGTGAACTGCTGACAGAGGAAAATTGCTAAATGGTTGAGAGTTGTTGGAAAGCCATAGAAAGGCAGAAATGTCTTTAAAAATTCCCATCCCAGTTTGCTGTGCGGCTTTGTTTGCAGGTTTGTCAGAGCGTGTGAGGTGTGTTTTCTTCCTGCACATGCTGAGTCACTGGGAAGCAGGTTTATCTTTTTTCATTTAAAACATTATAGGGACAGTAACAAATCTGCGGATTGACACTGAAACACCAACACCACACCTTTGTGCTTTAGGCTCAAATCCAGGAATCAATACTTTCAATATGTTAGTCAGAAGTTCAGATTTCTTTTCAACATCGGAACCGACACAGATATTAATATCGGATTGGTGCATCAGTCACAGACATAAAGTAGAGATTGGGGGAAGGAAAAACAACCCAGCTGTGGGCTTTAAATGTTATTCAGTTTCCATCCAACACAAATTCTAACAATGGCATCCTACCAAGGAAAGAAAATCCTGTCTTAGCCGTCCTGACAAAGCGTCCCTTAAAGAGGCTACAACAGAGTAGCATACTTCTCAGCAATGAGTAATAACCCAGTCCTGATAGCTGATGGATTTAACGTTAGCTTTGTTGTTCATGGCGTTTCCAGCTAATGGCTAAATATAGATTCCAGTCGGATCCTCTAATGCATCATGTGCTGCTTGCCCCCCCACCCCCTCCGGTCTCCCTCTCTTTACTTCTCATGCAATTCTAATGGGCCTGAGACGAGCGCCGAACGTTAACGCCATGCTGGACTCGCTCACTCGCACGGCAAAGTGCCGGTCCGCACGTCCATACAACTTCCTTTCATGTGTGACTTTACTGTCACCATAGCAACTGTTGCTCTCCGACTGTAATCTGTGCACAAGAAACGTTTAAAAAAAAAAAGAAGAGAAGAAAAGGACAAACCAGAGGAAGACGGAGATAACGAGCTGACCAGACACTGAGGCAGCATGTCAGATGAAAGCCTGCTTTTATTTATTTATTTTTTTTGACATTGTCTGTTGAAGTTGGGACTGTTCGCCTTCTTCTTTTAAAGCGAGCGTTCAGGACTTATAAAGTTCTTTTAAAAGGTTGTTAGCAGGTCATGGGTTATATGCGGTAGAAAAGCCGTTGTCAACGTGATGGAGTTGATTTGTCCTCTCTGAAGCTTCAGACTCTAATTTACTTTTGTTCAGACATGAGCTGCTTCCAGGCCTTCAGCTGGCAGCGCCTTTGAAAAACCGTGAACCATCCCTTCTTGGCACAGAGGTACAATATGATGAAAATCCAGACGGACCTCGGGGATGATGGTGATTTTCAAGCCGATTTGCTGGGTAAGTTCAGGCTTGTGCCGTCCACGGCGCTTCAGAGCACGCTTTGATCACGCCCCGTCGACTTCTCTGGGACTTTACAGAGCCACGTGCATTTCTGATTGCTGAGACCACGAAGAGAGGAGAGGGCAGATTAACTCACTAGTCATTTGTCATGCAGTAAAAGCCCCGTTCACACCTGCTCTGCTCTCCTGTGTCAGTCCAATGACAACCGAATGTGTCAGTGTAATGTCTAAATTACCACCCCGGTGCTTTTGCTCAAAGATTTATGATGGCAATCTGTCCAAGTCGGGATTAGTAACTTTGGCAGAAGGAGACGCACAGGGCATGTTGTTTCTCGGACAACTGACTATTAAAGGATGCTGCAGCTTCCAGTCTTATCTTCATAGTAAATAGAGTTCGATATGTTAGCACTGTAGCCTCTCCCATGGCTTTCTGCTGCTGTAGCATGTGAAGATGTGAGACAAGAAAAAAAAAAAGCACCTTGTCAGCTCTTGCATCCAGAATTTGCTCACCATATAAGCCAGGTGGTCTCTTTACTTCTCATGGTGGTGATGGATTATTTCTGCTGAAATATTTTCCTCCATGAGGTCTGCAGCAAC